CCCAGTGGATTGCACGGCACTTCAAGGTTGTAGTGAGGGGAAGAGCCTATGGGATTATGCAGGGTCTTCTGCCATGAGGAGATAACAGGAAGCATGCCTGTACTCCTCGTCCCAGGGCGGTGCCACACTGGCTGGGGTGGAGAAGCACTAATCTGGCATCAAAGCGCTTGGAGTTGAGTGTGTGTGCGTGAGTGTGGCTTAAGGCTCCGAGAAGGTAGGAGCTGACAGTGAGTCACGCAAAATTTCCATCCAGTGTGACTCTAAACCCTAAACACGGAACGATAAAGGGCAGGCTTTCTTCAATGGGGATTGTGATTTTACAACAAGCATTTTCTTATTCCGCTCCTTTTGGTTAAACAAGAAATGCAGGAATTATGAGTAGATTAGACTTCTTGTGTAATTTAAAAGAACCACAACCCCAGGGTAAATCCTGAAAGCCCGCTGTGCTCTTCGTGTACTCCCCCTGTACTCCTCCTATGCTCCTCCTGTGTGCCCCATGTGTTCCTCTTGTACTTCCCTTGTGCTCCGCCACATGCCCCCCTATGCTTCTCTTGTGCTCCCCTCTGTGATCTCTCTGTACTCCCCATGTGTGCCCCCTGTGGTCCTCCAATGTGCATCCTGTGCTTCTCCTGTGTGCCCTCTATAGTCCTCCTGTACTCCCCCATTTGCCTGCTATGCTCTTCCTGTGTGCTTCCTGTACTCCCCTTATACCCCCTGTGCTCATCCTGTGCCTCCTGTGTGCTCCCTGTGCTTCTCCTATACTCCCATTGTGGTCCTCCATGTGCCCTATTTTCCCCCCTGTACTCCTCCTGTATACCCCCTGTGCTCTCCCGTGTGCACCCTTGCTCCCCCAGTGTCCTCCCTGTGTTCCCCCATACTCCTCCGTGTGCCCTCTGTGCTCCCCTTGTGTGCACCTTGTGCTCCTCCACGTGCCCCTTTGCTCCTCCTATGTTCCCCATCTGCTCCCCCTGTACTCCTTCCTGTGTGCCCTCTGTTCTCCCCCTTACTATCCCTCTGCTCCCCCTGTTCTCCCCCATGTGTCCCTTGTGCTCCTCCATTTCCCCCTTTGCTCCCCTTATGTCCCTCATGGTCTCGTGGCTCCTCTCCTCCTGCCATTGCATGGCAAATACCCATCACTCTCAGTGTAAAAGTGATGGCACTTTCTGAAATTAGTAATCCGTTGTGTTTGCCAGGGTGGCATGGTGGTGCAGTGGTTAGCACTGTTGCCTCACATCTCTGGGACCAGGGTTTGAGTCTCTGCCTGGGTTACATGTGTGTGTAGTTACTCTGGTTTCCCCCCCACAGTCCAAAAACATGCTGAGGCTGCTTGGAGTTGCCAAATTGTGTTGTGTGAGTGTGCCCTGTGATGGGTTGGTGCCCTATCCTCGGTTGTTCCCTGCCTCGTGCCCATAGCTTCTGGGATAGGCTCCGGACCCCCCACAACCCAGAAATATAAGTAGTTTGGAAAATGGAAGGATGTGCTCAACTGTCCTGTACCTTCCTGTAAGGTGCTATGCT